GGCATTAGATCCAGCCACCTTGAAGTCCATTTGAGAATCGTGGCCATACAAGTCCAATGGCCTGGGAGAGGGCGAGGAGTGGTAGCAAGCAGAGGACAGACGACCGAGGTGTCCAGTTGATATTCACTGATTCTGAAGTTATGACTTTTACAACATCAGTTGGTCATGATGCATGAGGAACAAGATGTTAATGCAGTAAACAAATATGCAAATGCTCAAGTTTTGTTCCAATGTTTAGCTAAGTTGTAACTAATTGAACTCAAATGAATATGTATATAGTTCTCAATGGAAACGGAAACTATTTACCTTAAACATAAATTGTTAGTGCTACATCTTTCTTGTGAGGCTCTTTTATGAGCCATGTTTGTGTTGTCTCTTTAGCACTTTCCATACTTAAACCCTGAATCAGCCACACGGAATAGATATGGCAAAAGAGTGGGTCAGTGAGGTTAAGGTTGGATCATTGAAGGTCATGGGGAGTAAACTGATGTATGGGTTAGGGAAGATAATCCAAGATCCACCCCATTCAGGATTTTGCATGTTGTGAGTATTGTTTCCAAGCGGGTTATACGGATTAAATGGGTAAGGTCAAATAAGTTTGCATGTCAAGAATCCTTATTCATAAATCTAGAGTAAGGCCAAGGTTCTAGTTGCAGTGGCCGACGTTTGTGAAAACTACACCTCTCAAAAATTCCCTTATGTTTAGGGGAAAAAAAATCGTGTGATATAAGTTTATGTTTTAGATTTATTATAGTTATCAAAAAAATGTTATTTATTAGAAGAAAGTAAAAATTAAGATATCATGACATTTTAAACGTAAGAATTTTTTTATAAATTATTTAAATATATTTTTAAATTTTTTATATGTTAATTTATTAAAAATATTTAAATAATTTTATAAAAAAATTTGATATTTTAATTATCAAAACATCTTAACTTTTTTCTATTCTATTTATTATATGTAGAATTTTTTGTCCTCATTTATCGATTTAAAAAAGTAACACATATCTTCTTCGATATGCAAGTAGGTGACGTCTCTTCTTTAATTTTCTCCATTATTTGCCAGCCAGGAAAGCATTAACTATCGTTGAAGAAATATTTAGAAGAAATAAAACTGTCATTAATTGAAGCATGACTGAATTCATTTCAGTCATTAATGATAATGAGCAAACGTGTGAATTGTAGTATATCTAGCTTGGTTCAATTTAATTATTTTAATTTGATTTTTTTAATTTTTAAAACATTAACTTTAAATAAAAATTTAATATACTTTTAATCTATATCCACTAAGTATAATTTAGAAATTTTCTTTTTCTTTATTCTTTCTTCAAAGTTTCAGAATGAAAACTCATTTCCTTTTCAGCAAAAATAAATAAATAAATAAGAAAAACTCATATCTTCGGAGATTGGTGAAATCCCCTAGCGGCAGTGGTCTAGCTTTTCAACCGGGGAATAGCATTAACTTTTCTTACATGCTTAATTTTTTTCATAAAAAAAAAAAAACCAGCTAATTAGGAATTAATTATTTTCCATTATTATTCTAAATTACAAGGATCGAATATATTCGACAATGCACATGGTGGTAATTAAGATCCATAAAACGATAATTGAAATGTTTGCTTGTTAATTTGACAATGACATATTAAATCTTTTTTGCATTTGTTGCTAAATCGATCAATCAGTTGATGATGCATTTTTAACAATCTCCAAAAAGAGTGATTAAAGCTCATTAAGGACACGTATTACTGTACTTTAAGATTATAAGATGATTGGACAAATCGATCTTTAATTATTAATGCTTCATCTAAATTTATCTTTTTGGTGGGGCATGCAGTGGCTACCCATTCTTGGAAGAACAATCCCCAATTTCAGCAATCACAACTTCAATAATTTAATAGCTCTTTTTTATTATCTAAAGAGAAAAAAGATTAAAAAAAAAAATCAAAGAAGTGACCATCCAATTAATGGACCCATATAAAAATTGAAATTTAATTACGATTTAATTCAATTATCTTCTTTGACCTTTATTACTAAGGTCATTATCCAAAATGCAGCTTCGCTCGGTTATAGATGGACACACACCCTAAGGCTTTTGGGGTGCTATACAAACATTTTTGTTTCTTTTTAATCAACTGCCATATGCATACATGTTGATGTTAAATGATCAAGTATAAAATTTGACCATCCCTAAGCATGTGGAAAAGTTATGCGGAATTGATTGAATTAACTTTGCAACAAAAGGAATATATATCCACCTGGAGAAGGTCCAGCCTTGTTGTTCTAGCTAGACTTCTAGAAAAGGTACCGTCCAGGAAAAAAAAGATGTATAATTCACATTTTTTAAAAGCTGTTTGCCACAACCTTCAACATGTACCCACCAATTGTTCCATCCCTGGCCACAATCTCTTAAAGGCGTCTAAAGCATGGATATTTTTTTGGCCAAAGTCTGCATTGATTGATAAGGAAATACATATGTATAAATCACAATGGTAATTAAGTCACCAGGACCAAGAAATTGAAAATCTTTGCCATAAATTTACGTACAGCACAAAATTACCATTGTCAATGGCGTAGAGTGATTAATATATGACATGTCCATTTGT